TATGCATGATGAAATATGCTTGGTGATTATCCATATTTGTTTATATACACATTATGATGTGTATGACGAATTATGGTGAGAAAATGTGGAATATACGTATTCTGTGCTTATATATATATATATATATATATATATATATATATATATATATATATATATATATATATATATATATATATATATATATATATATATATATATATATATATATATATATATATATATATATATATATATATATATATATATATATATATATATATATATATATATATATATATATATATATATATATATATATATATATATATATATATATATATATATATATATATATATATATATATATATATATATATATATGCATTGAGTATTATGATAATATTTCTCACCCTTCTGCTGTTTTATAAGGCTCTATGAGGCATTGCAGATTAGGTTTGCTGGAGGTCTTTTGTGAAGTTTAACTTCATTCTTTTGGTCGGTTAGCTCTGATATGTAGCACTTGGTAGCTAGGATTGTATAGAAATCTTTGTGATACATTTGTATATGTATCTGCTGAAAAATGTTTATGTAAACATGAATGATGTGGCGAATCAAACTGGATGATATGTATTTAAATGATTACATGTTTAAAGTGATTCAATGTTTAGATTTTCCGCTGTTATTTCTAAATATTGAGATGTGGGTGTAAGGACTAAGTTCCTCTGTTGAAAGCTACCTCACTGTTGCATGTCTTTTATAGAGCAGGTGTTGTATGTTTCAATGTCGCGTATGATGTGGCATACCTCTTTTATACCATGTTTAATTTTACTCTGATGAAATTTTATTATGTGCTTAAATGATTTATTTGATTATTTGGGGGTATAGAAGGGGGTGTTACACTCCTCGGCTGCTTCAGTGAAACTCACCCTTGTCGGCCATCCACTGTCTGCCTCTACAGGTGGAAAAGGCGAAAAAACAACGTAAGAGTGGCCCCAATCTGCAAATGCCGGCAGACGAGCTCGTACGCCCGGATGAAGGCTATGGCGTTGGGGTGCAGTTGTGAAGGATCCAACTTCAACCATTCGAAGACGCCCAGTTGGAAATCGGTAAAAGGCAGCCTATGACCGGCCTCGCGGAAGTAAAACTCATACATCGGGAACCTCATCTTCCCGTAGCGGGAGCATATCCGATGATAATCCTGTGGTCGGTACCCCTGCCAACTAATGGGAGAGCCCTCGCAGCGGTCCTCGACAGTTACGTAGGCGTCAATGTCGTCGTCAACAAAGTATGACGACGTATTTAATGGTTCCTCGGCGACCCAGTCCTCGACAGAGCGGGCACGCACCTCAGCAGCAGGAGCCTCTGGCTCCACGTCGACTTCCATGGTCCCCGGCACCCACGAGGTCATATTCACCTGAAAATCATAAGGAAATGGTGAATTCGACGTTCAAGATCAAATTAACTCTTCCACCGCAAAATCAAGTGAAAGGGTGAAGGGGACGACGACCACAACTCGGCGGTAGCTCGCGTCCCCGCGACGCCTATTTCCGCACGGGCGTCCCTCCTCGTGGCATTCATCCAATCCCATTCAACATCCTCGGGGTATTCATCTGACCCTATCCTACGTCCCCGGGGTGTTCATCTAAAACTATGTTATGTCCCCGGAGTACTATTGAAGCGATAAAGCAGCAAGCAAAAATATTAAGTTCCTAGTTTTGTCGTCTCCACAGGGATCGGTGCGATACAAACGCTGTTCAACGACCTCTACATTTCTAAGCTTGTTGTTCAAAAGGTTTGGCTTAAAAGGTTCAAGGAACCATGAATAAAAGGCAGAAAATATAAAGACGGAAAATATAAAGTAAAAACTGAAATATAAACGGAGCCTTGTTGGGATTGGATCTCATCAATTGATAACACATGCATTCTTATGATCAAGTTAAACACAACGCAGTCATTCGTCTAATATCCTCACGTATCACCCACGACAGAGGTCATCTCTAACGCAACGTCGAGAGAACAACCGTGTTGTCTCATTGGTGATGTCTCACGCAACAAAAACACAACACAAAGCATTAAGAACTAATACTCACGCAAATGTTAAGCCTAAATCTATGTCTAGAGTTTAGGACCTAACAGGTAATCATCCTAGATCGAGATCTGAAGAGTACATGTCTATAGTGGTTCAAATCAAATATAAACAAGTAAACAAAGACGACACCCATATTGGATAAACGATTGTTTTAAATAAAACACAATGATCAGAATACATACATACGCTTAACCCTTTTTACATGTATTCACCTAATCTGCCAAATGGTTGTGAACATCGTTCTTCATCACTATTATCACGCACCTGCACAATATCGTATTGATCCTACTCATGCTACCCATGCTACTTAATCAACATAATACAATAGAAGATACAATGAATATCAACTTACAAAACCATATCAAAATTTTGCTCATAGATAGAAGAAAATCTTAGATCAAAGATGTGAAAAGGTTTTGTTAAGACCCACAAACAAGCAATCAAAGATAATCAATCAATAGAGAATCCAAACTAATTCACAAACATATATTAGATGAAATACATAAGGTATCAAAAGATTACATCCAAACCCCAACAAGAGATCAAAGATCTTACCTCATCTCTCTTAGGGTTTTGTATTTCTCTCTCTCTAAAATAAACTTAAATTGAAGAGAGATAAGTTCCGATGTAAACAATATTACATAATAATCTAAAAAGCAATAAAAGTACTTATATAGTACATTCAGGATTTGTCATGTTTGCACTGCGAATAGATCCTTCGCCTAACGAACATCAAATTGGGCACCTAAGGTGCCTCTGAACAGTTAAACCGCATTTGAGACTTTTCCACATGTTTGTTGTGCGAGCAATCCTTCGCACTGCGAAGCCTTCGCTACACAATTCACACAACGAATTCTTGTCCAAAAAGTTACTTCCTCAAGTCTGAGAGTGTTCGCTAGAGCTTCGCTGCCTTTTCGCCCCATCGAGTTGTTCGCTACCTTCTTCGCACAACGAGTTTAGGTCCCTTTTCTTTCTGGATGAACAGTACATTGGGATTCCTGGTCTTCTCTGGAAAGTTCGCCTAGCGAACTTTGTGAAGTTTTCTGGCAAGCTTCGCTAAGAGCTTCACATGGCGGGTTTTGTGATGTTTTTCTACTGTCTTAGTTTCCTTGTCCAATTTCTTGTGTCTTACTATTCACTTGTTTTGTGCCTAATTTCTGCACAATAACACACAAATCAAATCAACCAAGACATTTTTACACAATGAAGCATATCATCAAAAACAAGAGTGATTCTAATCACTTTCACCTACAAAAAGAATGAAAGATGCCAACATTTGATAGATCAAATAAGTAAAGTTTGGCATTTAACGGGTACCCGTTCTCATCATGTCGACCATCCCCTGTACATTCATCCTACAACCCCAAATATCCTCGGGGCCTTCATCCTAAGTCAAGGGATATCCCGACGTAGTCGATGGAAACCCTCGCCCTCCTCGGGGCATTCATCATGTCCTCGACGACGGCGTCGAATCCAAAGAGAACAGAGGAATAGAGGCAAAAAACTTACTAGATTGGTAGAAACGGTAGAATACGCGACGGACGTAACGGTGACGATGAATTGCAAACTGCGTGTGCGGAGATCGGATATCACGTACGAAAACAAGAGAATGCGAAAAGTGGTAAAGGGGCAGACACCTGCCTATTTATAAACCCAACACGGGAATCGAAGCGCCCCTAGGCACTCGAGTACCCTAGGGTAGCCTCCCTACGTGGGCCATTGATTGTTAGACACGTGGCCACCGCGAACAGTCACGTCCCTTCGTTCTCCCCCTCGAGCACAGGCAGGCGAGGATGCACCAGCCTTCCCCCTCCTCGACTTGATAGCCCGACAAGAACGGGGGTCTTCGTGCCCGCATCCTCGACACGGCAAACCAACAAAGATTCCTCCTCGCGCCTTCTTCTTCCCCGACATAAGTTATCGTCAAGTTATCGCTCCTTTACTTTGGAGCTACGACTTGGGGAGCTCCTGTTCTGAACTGGGCTCAGGCCTGCCCATCCGCCGGGCAGGCCCAACCTAATTCTATTTGGGGAAGGCCCAAATCCCCTAGTGTCGGGCACAGTTCTGGACATGGTCGGACATATATCTTCCCCCGTCGGGCAGAACAACACGTCTTCCCAACGTTCTCCACGTACTCCCTCCGCGGGAACACGTCATCAGTCAACTATCCACCTCCGAAAGAGCTGGTCAGCCCACCTTCCGGAGATCACGAGACGGTTGAACTAGGGCGAAGACCACGTGCTGGTATTCACTACACCACGTAAGTCCTAGCAGTCACCTGGGTTGGGCCTGACAATCCAGCCCAACACAAGTGACCGTTGGCCCTGCGCTGGGGTCTCTCTATAAACACCCTCTTTCACTAGAGGGTCAGGTATTCAATTCTTTATCTCTCTTCTGTATTTGCTCTCACTCTGGTCCATTATTTACTTTGGAATCAGAGTGTATTGCAGGTACACCCCCCTCCTCCTCCCTACTATCGACGAACAACCTTCAGATCGACGACGCGTGGCAGATCACTGATTCCTTTTTGATCAGGTAAGATCCGGTATCTTGTTGCTAGAACATCCATTTGCAAATATAACTAATTATCATCATTTGCATGAACAATATTCACCAGTTTTCCAATAAGGTGGAATTTTGCAGGGTCAAAGTCTAAGTATGCATCAAGTCTCTCTATAAAATTGGACAAGAGCTTTATCAGTATAGCAACTATACGTGTAAGGCTAAGGGATTAATCTAATTTAACGTTCCTTACTTGGATTCTAACTATTACACCAATAAAAGACTTAGGGTTTCCATCCCCTCTATCATAGGTAAGACTTTGAAGCATGGAAATATGAGGTTTTTGGTGCACACCAGAAGAAATTACGGGTGGCCTGTAATTTGGTCTTACGCCCATAATTCCTTCAGTAGGCCAAACCGCATGCCACTAACAAAATATCGGGAAGGCCGTAATTCGCCCATAATTCCTCAATTCTGGAGCATATCTGGCACCCTTCTCTTGTTGCCCAACAGAATGCATGTCCAGTAAATAACACTACAACATGAAAATCAAAATACAACTTTGTGAATGCTCTATTAGAAATTTTCCAAAAAACATCCTACCTACTAGGTTGAATTTAGGAAGAAAGAAATGTTAACCTATCTATGCACTGCCACATGACATAACTGACCTGCTTCTCTTCAAAATTGGGCCAAAAGTACTGATCTGGATACTTGGCAGCTGGAGTGGCTAACATCTGATGTGATAGGAACATCTCAATAAAGTCAATCAGGCCAACCCAAAATTAAGATAACCATTGAGTCTGATGCTGAGATTGTGGTGACACTAAAAATAATCACCTTGGAAAAATCTATCAACTTCAGCCAAATATGGAAAACAAATGTTGCAAATACCAAAACAAAGGTTTGCAGGACCATAAGCACTGACTTTCAGTCCACAAGTTCATTCCACTCGACTTTTCTTCTTTCTATTCTGATTGAAGTCATCCGAAGGCACTTCTTGAGTATGAAATCTCTTGGTAGAGCATTCATTTTCATCATCACTACAAGCAATGGCATTCAAATCTGGTAAATGATATAGATTCTTAGTTGGTTTATCGTATACAAGATAAACTGCTATCTTCTTCACAATGAAACTGTTCTCAAAAACAAACACAAGCTCCACTTTGTTACCGGGTTCTAAACTTGATACTACTCTCTGCCTCTCTTCATCTTCAAAGGAGACTAATGCCTCTCTCTTGTAGAGCTGAATGGTGGCCTTTGTGTAATTGTTCACCAACACATTTTTAAGGCCATCTGTTGTTATGCTATCTGGGGTGGAGGTATAGACAATACACATCATTGTCTTCAAGTTACGCCCTTCCACTGGAGGGACTTTAAAAGTTACCGAAGAACCTTCAGAATTAAAGGTTAACCAATTTGGATAACTATCACCAGGGAGCAAACAACCACCACTCCTATTGACATCCATATTCTGTAAAAGAAAATATAGGCTCAAAACTTAATTGACAAGCATATTAATATCACCATAAGTATCATAGAAGCATTACTACTATGAGACTAGTATCAAAGATAAGATCATGACCAATTAATGCCAACATGTATTGCAGTTATGAATATTCTTTCTGCTCTTAACAATGACACTTACTATGCATCTTGAGGTTTAAGAGAAAAATTTGATTTTAAATACAAGCATTTAGATTAGTGATTTAGTATAACTTATGTCAAAGTATGCAAAATAAGATAGTATATCTTGAAAAAGGTACTTCCTCCGTCTCATAATATGTGTCTCTTTCCTATTTTTATTTGTCTCAAATTATTTGTCCCTTTAAAATATCAATGTGATATTTATTATATCTTCCCACTAAATTATTTTAGTAAATGACACTCGTTTTATCCTTGAAAACAACACAATTAATCGTTATTTTAAATAGTGTGAAAATTTCAAAGAAGAGTATAATGTTAGGGAGTTTGAGGAGTGTCGGGAGTGTCAATGGGCTAAATGTTCAGAATCCAAGAGACCTTGACACCACATATCTGCCCAAAACTTTAGACAGGGAGTATGGATCCTTTCTCCTACATACCCAATATTTCCTCCATTTCTAGTCGATGTGAGACTTAACCACTTACACTTGAATTCAACTTATAATACAGACTATAATTCTTTCACATGTGTCATGTAAACTGTCAATAGCTGATAGCCAAATTTGGGAGAATATGGAAGACAATTTAAAAATAATTATGTTAAGGATTTCAATTTTCATGTATGCTAAACCAATAGAAAATAATTGTATACACTTACATGTATTTTACTAGATTCACACTAAAAGAATTCAAATGAATAAAGTGATACAGATACAGAAAGCCAAACATAAAAGGGGAAAACCAAACATAAAAAGAGGACAGAGATAGTATGCCAAACCTTTAAAATTTTCTCTTTGAGAATATTGGTGACTTGGCAATCCATTCCCATTTGAACTAAAAGAGACTTCAAGGAATCTTTTGATCCCAAAACCTGAACTTGAGTGCAACGTTGAATTAATGTAGTAGTCATATTTGATACTTGTGATGTAGTAGCAGTTGATTCCAATTCCTTAGAAACTGTGGCATATAAAGTATCCACAATTATTTTTGAATCTAGAGAAAGTTGATCTTCAGATTTGCAATCCACCCAAAGACTTCGAAGCCTAGGAAGGTGGTTACAAAAAGACGATAGTTCATCAGAACTACTACTTGGTACATCAAAAGAAACAAGGGATGACATGGCAGCAGGTGTTTGAAATAGAGATGTGACATTATTTGTTGGTGACATCCAAGACCAAATGATAGATGGAAACACATCACGGGAAAATCCTTGATAGCCACACATAGAAATATATCCAATGCTTTTGGACCTTACCACTGAAAAGGGCACTTTTGTTATTGCAGTGTTATTTGCAAGCAGTGTGGTCAAAGATTCCATTTGTTCCAAATCCTCTTCCAACTTGTGAATCTTTATACAACCAGAAAGAATGAGAATTTTCAAAGATTTCAACTTGTAGATGCTTCTTGGGAGGCTAGAAAGGTTAATGCAGTCTTCCAAATTTATCAGAAGAATTTTATTGAGATCTCCAATGCTAGGAGAAACCTCAGACAACATTGCGCAATCCTTAAGTACTAGCTTTTCAAGATTAGGCATGTATGAAAAGTCAGGAGTGTGTGTCAGATAATGTGAATGACTAAGATTGAGAATTTTAAGATTTTCCATCATCTACAAGAACAAAAATGTTAAACGTTAAAGGGAAACTTATTTAAGAAGCTTCAAAAAATAAATAGAAGCAGTTAAAATATCTCACTAACCTTAAGAGTGGAAAGAAATTATTTACAATAGTGTAGCTTCAATTTTTCCAATACTAATATTAGTGGAAACTTTTGAAACAAGGCTAAATTTCTGTACATAATATTGCATAAAGTATTAAAAGCCTTGTCAATTGCTAATTTCGATTCATGGTTAGTTTAAAACTTCTTTAAACTATCTTCCAATTCTTTAATGCTAAAAGCTTGAAAAACTTTCATTATCACAACCACTTTACCTGAAATATGAGATTTTTATTAATGTGTAAATACATAATTGGATAGCAGTGTAAAATAAGTTTGTAGAACGATATGCAATTTATAATTTTAAAATCTAGCTGAACTATTGTTTTATAGCAAAATCTAATATGCTTCCCAATTGGTACTTGCAAAATTAGAAAGACCGACAGAAACAAAGACAAAAACAATTCCTAAAAGTGTCATATAATGAAATAGTATTTCATTATGAGATGCATACTGTAAAAAAACTCATGAAATGCAACAACAACAACAAAAAATACCTGGGCCTCTTTCCACAGAATTTTGATATTGCTGTTCTCTAACTCGATGGAAACTAAATTTCCTTGACAAAGGCTTGTAGGTAAATGTGTTAAAGGAAATTTATTCCAAGATAGCCACCTCAGTTTTGTTGAAAGATATCCAAAATCTCCATCAAGTTTCACTCCAACAAGTTGAAGCAATCTTAGTTGCGTCATCTTCTTAAATGCATTAGTCCGGTAACATTTTGCATTAGCTTTTGGTAACTTCAAAGCCAGTCCCTTTATAGCTTTTGTTCCCTATTAATTTAAATCAATCACAACCTCAAATAATACATACAAGGCACATTTATTAGCATTTAAACCAATCAGTAATTACTAGCTAGAAGCACAAAGTGACAAAACGATTCAAGCCAAACTAGTATTCAAATCACAACTAAACTAATGAGTGCTAACAAATGGCTCAATTTTTTTTGCTTTCCTTTCTCAAGCTCTAGATATTTTAAACCAATAGTTAAAAAATAAGTATACGAAGTTCTTACAGATTGATCTAATAATACATCATGCACGTCATCATGAAACCACAGCCTGCAACGTGCCTCAGGCTCTGGTGATTTCTCACGAATGATTTCTCTTCCCATATCTCGCAGCAAATCATGCATTCCAAGCTTGTTCTTATCATCAACAGTTACAAGACTTCGCTCAATCAGAATACTTATTCCAATTTCTGCAAAAAGTCCACAACCATTTAGTACAAGCATAACATCATTTCGGTCCATCCCAATAAAGAAACAAGCTATGTCAAGGAATGTTTCTTTCTCAGTATCATCATTTAAACCATCGTAGCTTATTTTCAGCTTCTTTTGTACTTGGTCGTTAGGAATTTTTTTGAGTTTTTCCAATACACAATGCCACTCGGTTAGCCTCCTATCAAACAAATATGACCCAAGGACTTCCAGAGCCAGCGGCAATCCCCCAGAATACTCAACTACATTTTTGGAAATTTCAACGAAATCTTCTGTAGGACTTGCTTGCTTGAATGCATGCCAACTAAATAGCTCAATTGATTCACTTTCATCCATATGCTTCATTTCGTACACTTGGTTAACCCTATTTCCACAAAGTATATGTCTATCTCTTGTTGTGATGATTATTCTACTACCTGAGCCAAACCAATTACGACTTCCACACAAAACATTCAGTTGATCTAATGCATTCACATCATCAAGGATAATCAATACTCTTTTATAGGAGAGTCTTTCCTTTAAAATGATTTTTCCATATTCAGTGCTATGTATTTTGGAAGTCATATTCTTGCAGATATCAAAAATAAGTTGTTCTTGTAAACCAACTTGTCCAACATTTTGCTCCCAAACTTCCCTAATATTTGCTAGGAAGCTTCTACCTTCAAATTTGCGGCCAATTTCATTGTAAATGGCTTTTGCAATAGTTGTTTTACCAACTCCACCCATACCCCACATCCCTAGTAGGAGAACATCATTTGATTGTTGGATAGTACTATCTTGTTCTAGCAGCTTAATCATACCTAGAACTCGAGATTCAACTCCCACAGGATTATTAGCAATAAATAAGGCTGTCTTGTCAAGCAATCGTGTAACATTTTCAAGAATATCCTTGATAGCCTCACTTTCATTCCTACGTAAAACAAACCAAATACAGTCTAGTTATAAGTAAAAGTTTGAATATATTTGCCATACTTTTAAAATAAATATTATTTAAAAAAGACTCCAAAATTTTGTAATTGATTTATGGACTATATTATTGCTTAAAATATTTATAATATCGTAATTTAGAATTTTAAATTTAAGAAATATCAAGTTGCTCCCAAAATTATCTATCGTCATAAGATAACAATAAATTTCTTCTGCAACTGCCATTTGCATCACAACATACACAACAACAACATTAATTTAAAACCGTGTTGGATTAATGTGTTTTGTGTTTGGCTCTGGAGTGACAAAAATTGATTTTAAGTTAATTGATTTTGTAGAATTTATTTTTCTTATTAACTTGATTTTAAGTAGGGGTGTTCAAATAAACCGGTTATTTAAATAATTTATATTCATATCCAAATCCGGTTATTAAAAATCGATTAATTATTAATATGATTTAATTTTAACCAAATCCACATTTTAGATATATTTTTAATATGGTTTTAACCAAATCCATAATTTGGACATCCATATCCAAAATAAAAATCAAATTAGTCAATTTTTTTTAATTAAAAAAAAACTTTGAAATTTTTTTTCAAAAAAAAGATATTTTTATTTAAAAAATAATAATAATTTTTTTGAAAATAAATATTGTTTTAATTTTTTTCAGTAAATAAAATTTTTATGAATTTTAAAATAACTATTGTTTAAAATTCATAACCAAAAATTATTATTTTGAATATTATGATTTTGAAATTCATAATTTTTAAATTCATAATATTGTTAAAATAACAATAGTAATAAAAATTCTAATTTACTCTGTCCTTCTTTATTTAAATTAGTCCTCCAGTTCACACAAACTAAATGACTACAAAAAGAAAAAATATCATATCTACAATCAAAATAGACTTGCCGTTTAATTCAATCAATGCAAATTTAGATCATATTCTTTTTATTTTATTTTTTAGTTTTTAACCATCTCAAATAAGAATTTTAATTTAGTCCAATAACTGTTCAAACGACAACAACTGTTTATTTTTTTATTGTAATTTATATACAAAAATCATATTTAAATATTAAATAATTATCATTTTTTAATAACACATATTTCTAATTACAAATCAACGAATTATATAGGAAAGAAAAAATAGATAGATTGGAGTAACTGTAACCAATATTATTATTTAACTGTTAAATTAGTTTAATAAATTTAAAATATAAAACAAAACTGATATTTTTTAAATATGGAGATGAATTAGATGAAATGATATATATTAATAGTTAAATTGAATCCATTCAATTAACTAACTTTTCATTTAATAATGAAGAAATTGAATGAACTTTTCATTCATGAATTTTAAAAATAGTCACTATGAATTTAAACAATAGTAATTATGATTTTGAATATTTAGAGACCAAAAATTATGAATTTAAAAAAAACAATAGTTATTTTAACAATATTATGATTTTGAAAAAATCAATTTTAAAATAAAATTAAATCAAAACTAATTATAAAATTGGTTAGGGATATAACTGGTTTATAACAATTTTAAAAAATAAAAACCTGTTATGAGAATTGGTTTTAATAACCGGTTGTAATATATGAATTATTTATGGTTATGGATTGATTTTGGATATTAACCATCCATGACCACTCCTAATTCTAAGTTAATTGTTAGGTTACTTTTATATGAAGAATGTCCTCAATTTATGTATCATACATATCTAGAGGAGGAAATTCAGTTAAGAGACTTGTTTCTTTGTAGTTTCTTTTGTTTGGGCTTAGGCCCTCGCTAATAAAAAAAATTGATTCTAAATGAATTGATTTTGTAGAAATGATTGTGATTAAGGTTATGTTTAGATATAGTAAAATGAATGAAGCCGAATAGAATGAGGCAGAACAAAGATACAATTTCATTTTTTGAAAATTTTAGGACGGAACAAAGCATGTTGTTCATTTCGCGCCCAAATTGGAGGAGAAGGATTAGGGTGGTAATTGGTAAATGATGGAATGGAATAGAATCCATACCATTTCATTCTGTGCCGCTCCATCAAATTTTAAATGATCCAAACAACATAATATCATTTCATTCCTCTCCTTTTGATTTTATCAATCCAAACAAAACCTAAAAATAACTTGAATATATAGTGATTTATGTTTGAATACATCAATATAAAAATTAATTTAAACTCAAAAGCTACAACTTCTAGTTTCAACTCGAATCAATTTTGCAAGCACAATAAATTCTACTTTTGAGAAAACAAATGTGTTAAAATCCACTCAAAATATGTGTTGGATTAAACTCATTATCCAAGTCGCAGTATCACACTATCAGAATCTTTGCTTCACAGGAAAACTCGAACAAAAAAGTTATGGAAATGGATTGTGTAACTTTAAAATTACCTGGAATTTAGGATTACGAAGCCGGCAAGGCTAGCAGCCTGACGAAGCGATGTCAAAGCTGCAATATATTCCTCCTCCATTGAAATCTTATCCAAAAGATTACGAAACGCTATTCCAAATTCACCAGTTTGACGACGTACTTCAGATGGATCTACACCGTAGAACACCGGCAGAACAATTTGGCCCATGGTTCTGCGACACTCCATTATTTTCACCAACTCTTTCAAACACCATCGCGATCCTGCGTAATTGATTGAAAAAACGATAACAGAGATCTGAGAGCCTTCGATTGCTCGATATAGTGAAGTTGAAATGTCGTCTCCTCTTTGAAGAGAATGATCGTCCTTAAAAACATCAATTCCGGCGTTTTGAAGAGAAGCGTGGAGGTGTGAAGTGAAGGAAGCGCGCGTATCGTCGCCTCTGAAGCTTAGAAACACTTCATGGCAGATTGTTTGTTTTATTTCTGTATCTTCTTCATCACTCAAAATTATTTCTGCGTCTTGGGGGCAGTCACTGGAGGAAGACATGGAATTAAACTAATTGGTGAATTAGAAAATTATTAGGAAGACAGTGAAGTGAGTGAAGTGAAGTGAAGAGTAGAGAAGTGTGCGGATTCAAGCAAGAAATAAAGAAAGGGAGCAGGAGGAGATGCAGTCAACATAATTGTTTACTTATTTATTCAGTCATCATTGGCGCTCCACTTGTTGAATGAGGGGGCAACCTGTCATCAAACGGTTGACGGTACTGTATAATGATTAAATATGTGTTTGAAACTGCGGTGAAAGACCATTTCTCGCGTTCCAAGACAATTTTCACGTGAAAATATAAAAGATGCTAAGTTGTAGTCCGGAGATATTGAATTCATAACCTTAAGGATGCAGCAATAATTTTTTGTTTAATGATTATTCAAAATGTATAATTATTTGTTTAATAATTGTTTAGTAATTAGTAAACAATATGTTAAAGTTAATGTAATGTATTTTAAATAATATTCTATAATTGTAAATTATTATTTAACGTAATGTAGAATATACTTTCACTTTAGTGTTTAAATATTTATTATGTTAGTGTTTAAATGCTATTAAATGATAGTAAATAATTGTTTAATAATTATTGTATTTTATTAAGGTTTAATATTCTTTTTGGATTTATTTTGGTTTCTTGACTTTTAAAAGGTTTATATTTGTTCCTTAATTTTTTAAAATGTTTTAAATTAGTTTTTTTTTCTTTAATTAGCAGTCAATTTAACGATTGATTTTTGAATTTTTTTCATCGCTAATATAATAAAAAAGACTAATATGAAACGTTTTGAGAATATTTTACCAAAATAACACAATTTTAAAATAAAAAAAATTCAAAATACCTTACATTTCAAATTATTTTTCAAAGTATCCCAATTTGGAGTACTGATTACATGGTGGCGCCAAGTGGATTGACGACACTTCACAAGGGCTTGAAGGGTGGTGCCAATTGGATTGGAGACACTTCATGGTGTCTCCAATTCAATTGGCGCCTGAGTTTAAAACTTACAATGGAGTCGTAAATTAAGATGGAGACAGGGTGCACAATGTAAATTTTATTAACAAAAATAAATAACATTATCATTAATTAAAAATATTATTACATAAATTAATGTTAGCGACCGGGTTGATCATACTGACCACCAGTTCCACATTCCTTAGGCACCGGGTTGATCATACCGACCACTAGTTCCACATTTCTTAGGCACCCTCACTTGTTGCACTCGTCCCCCAGGTGTTTGAGGAGCTGAAGTCTCAGGCACATTCTTAAATGGTTCCCTAAGAATTTCTTGCAATTCCATGATGTCTTGTGTGTTGAAACTGAGTGTGCGAACCATGCCAGAGTAGTTTAAATGTGATTAAGGGGTCATTGGTGTGCGATCAGGACGATTGAAGGGGGACATTGGTGTGAAGGATTTGTTGGTGAAAGGTTGAAATGGTAGTGGTATTTGAAAGTCATAAGGTTGTTGGGATGTTTGTGTGTGTAGGCTAGGATATTGTCGCGGCGAAAATCAGATATCAAACTATTAATTAACTTGAATCACAAATCTTAATTCACCTCTGATCTTTAATTTATCCAAGAGAAGAGAAAAATAGCGAATAACCCAAAATATGCAATGTAATGCAAAGCAAAAGAGAATCTAAGGTCTGAGGGTTAGTTATACTAAGGGAAGGTATTAGCATCCTAAGTATTTTTAGTACTCTACAGAAACCTCTTGTTTTATTGTGTTATTTGTTATTTGTCTGCAAAAGGCTGAAAAGGTAAAGGAAGCCCTAAGGTGTTATTTCTAAGTATGCTCGCCAATAAGTCGCATCTTGTGCCTACGTTCCTGACGGGAGTGAAATCAGAGCATCAGTAGTTCCTTTAAATAAGGGTGAAGAACTCTTGACTGTGGTCAAGGTTCCAGGGACAGAAGGTTTGTTGATTAATTCTAGGAGAAGAGACAAGTCGTCATCTTAGGGAGAATACTCGACTTAAACCACCACAAGTATGCGAAAGACGGTCTTTGCTTCGCATTTGGAGAAGCGCCCTAACTCGGATTTAGAATCGACGAGTATGTCATCTCTCAAGTGGAAAAGAAATCAACATCTTTCTTAATTATGTCATGGGGTAGGAGAATTATATCTCAACTAAGGATGATAGATATAAGGATGATTAGTGTATAATTCTGTTTGAAAAGGGTTTAAAGTTGAAAAGCCCAAAGTGGAAAAATGGGTTGAGATGTCTGAGGTGTTTTTTTAGTTTTTAAAAACAGGTTATAAATAATTAACGTATTTTTGGATTTTTATTTATGAATTGTGAACCCTAATTGTCCTAACAATGATTAGTCCCTAATTTCCCTAATAATTCATAATTTGTCCTAATATGGTCTTAACCTAAAATATCAATTATTTATTTACTTTTTTTATATTTTATAATATGAAAAAAAATAGCCATAATAAAAAAAATCAGACAAATAAAATAAATAAGCGCAAAGGCGCATATAAAATAAATAGCAAGAAAGAATTAATGGATTTTATTTCATCAACTATTAATAATCATCTTAACCAAAATAATAATAATAATAATAATAATAATAATAATAATAATAATAATAATAATAATAATAATAATAATAATAATAATAATAATAATGTTCCGGTATGGGCCTCACCTCGGCAGGCCCAATACCACATGCGGCCCAACAAGCGAACCGGGCACGCCTGGCACGCGCCTCTCCGGAACGAGCAGGAGCAGGCCGCCGAGCACAAGCTACATCTCCACATCCTTTTTTGTCGTCCACCACGCCGGACGAGCAGAACCACCCGGGCTCCCCTCCGCGGGGAGAATAACGTGCTCGGCGCACGTTCTCCACGTGCTCCCCTCCGCGGGGACACGTCCTCGGCCAACTGCCCACCTCCGAAAGAGCAGGTCAAACCCACTTTCCGGAGATCTAGGAGCGGTTGAACTAGGGCGAAGCCCACGTCCTGGTCTTCACTACGCCACATAAGCCCTAGCAGTCATCAGGGTTGGGCCTGGTCGTCCAGCCCACCTCGAATGACCGTTGGCCCAGCGCTGGGGTCTCTCTATAAATACCCTCTTCTCTAAGAGGGTCAGGTAATCCTTCTTGCCCCTTTTTCTGTACTATTGCTTCCTCTCTGTCCAACTTCTTACTTGGGCGTCGGAGTGCTTTGCAGGTACACCCCCTTCCTCTTTCTCACCCCGACGAACAGGTAGCAGCCCAACGGAGTGTGGCCAGTCCGTGATCCCCTCCTGATCAGGTCAGATCAGTGGCGCCGTCTGTGGGAAACTGAAACTTCCCCGTTACTCCGAGCAAAAAACCAAAAGTTTCACCAAACCTCCACGGTCATGGCCAGCCCACGCCGCGATGACACTCCGCACGACCTTGCGCTCAACACCGCCACCAACGGGAAGCAGACAGGAACGGCACGTCTGACGGAAGCCGACGAAAGGGACGGGCAAACTGCTTCACCATCATCCGAGGAACGGCCCCTACAGGCCGACCACCGCCCCCCGAGCCCGCCAACATTCCACCTCGTTCCCATCCCGGCGGGAGCAGACCCAACGGTGGCCGCTCTCTTTACAGCCATCAACCAGACGAACCAGCTGCTGTCCCAACAAAATGCTAGAATTGGAGCATTGGAACGCGTCGGCCCCCCGAGGTACCCCCAGCGGGAAGACCAGAACGGAGGTTCGAGGAGCCCCTCACCTCGACTCAGGAACCGCCGGCCACGGCTGGAGAGACACCGCCCGCAGGCGACGCGGGAGCGCACCAGATCCCCGGCGAGACACGGTCACGGGAGGAACCAGAACGCCGCGGCGATCCCAACCGAGGAACCCCGAGGCGGGAACTCAGGCCGAAGATCGAGGACCCGAAACCCGGGACACACCGTGAACGGCTCATCTCCCCTAAGATCCCCGGCGCACAGCGACGAGGATGATTACCGCACCCCGCTATCCCGGGAGATCATGGCAGCCCCCATACCCCAGGGAATGGAGAAACCACCGACGCTGTCAACGTACGACGGCACCTCCGACCCGGACGATCATCTGGAAGATATCAAGGCTATGCTCGACTACCGAAACGTCCGGGGAGCTATTAAATGCAGACTCTTCCCGACGACTCTGAGGAAAGGCGCTATGACCTGGTACAAAAGTCTGGAGCCCAAATCAGTTACGTCGTGGAGGGTCTTGAAGGACCTATTCTCCAAACACTTCACGGCGTCCCGGCGTCACCCGAAGACGGAAGCAGTCCTCGGGGCAATCATCCAAGGCCCCGACGAACCCCTCCGGAAATACATCGAAAGGTTTACTCGGGAAGCCGTGCAGGTGACAACTTCCGACGAAATGAAACGCTACTTAATGGAACAAGGCCTGCGCCACGAATCCAAATTCTACGAGGCCGTAGGCATACACCGGCCCACGTCCCTCCAAGACTTCCTCGACAGGGCCGCGCATTACATCCGGTTCGAGGAAACACAAGCGGCCAACTCCGCTCGCGACACCCGAGACAGGGAGGCCCCCCGCGGGCACCGAGACGACGGAGCTTCGAGCCATCGACGAGGAGGGGACCGCCGTCGGGAAGACCGCCCCCGCGAACCCCGCGAACAGCGCGAACCACGCGGCCCGGCAGGAAGATTCACAGAGTACACCGCCTTGGTCGCTTCACGCGAACGCATACTGGCCGAATGCGCTAAAACCGAGTTCGTGCAGGGAGGTGTCCGTTTTCCACGACCAACGCCGCCCAAACCCAACGTGGACAAGTCAAAGTACTGCCGATTCCACAGGACCCACGGGCACGTAACGGAAGACTGCATCCATCTCAAAGATGCGATCGAAATCCTAATCAAAGACGGGCACCTAAAGCGATACACCCGAGGAGGTGAACCACCCAGGTCAGAAGCTCCGGAGGCTAAGAAAATCGAGGAACTCCCCTCTCCAGAGGACAGCGGTAGACTCTAGGTCGCGCTGTGCGTCAGCCGCCCCGAGGATTGGTTCGCGAGCA